TATGATATATATATATTTTTTTTTTTTGCTTTCTTCTTTCCATCCTCTTCCCACCTCCTGCCCTTTTTTTTAAGCCTTGTCCCCTTCTAGAATTCCACTTCTTGCCCTAAGATGGGTGAAAAATCACTTGAAAACTTGGTGAAGGTTTTCACATTTATGTAAATAGGCGAGAGGAAGAGATGGGACCCATGAATGGGCTTCAAGGGGAGGGGTCCATCGGTTCTGGTCTTGCTATTTTTGTGTGTGTTCTAATGAACTCCTCAGGTGCTATCAATCAGGAATCTATACGTTGTGTATTTTATACCTACAGGGTATTCTCTCCCGCAAGTACCTTGATGCACATGAATGCTAGATTGCTACATTACAGAACCAGGTGGGAAGAAAGTGATTTCCTTGGATAAAATAGAAATCTAGAAAGAACTGTAACAGGAATCAATACTGGGTACCCTTTGTCTCTTTCCCTTGACGGTCACTTACCAGACTTTATAACCTAACGAGTCCATGCTTTTACCAGACTTTATAACCTAACGAGTCCATGCTTTTAGCTTCATTTAATGTAGGCCAAGAGTCAAAGGCACAGCTTCATCTTTTTCTTGTCACCATAACCCAGTGGCTCTTTTTCTCCCACTCATTATCCATTTCCATCATTTGAGCTTCTATTATTTTCTCAAACATTCCTTCAAAATTCAGTATTATCATCCTTTTCTCCTCTTTTTCCATTTTTTCAAGGTCCCCGTATTTTGCTCCTACCCTGAACATTTCTCATCCCCTGCCTGTTCATCCCATCTTTATTTCATATTCTCACTCTTACTCACCCAATTGACCATTTCTATTTGCCTTTCTCATGGGATTACCCATATATATATATATATATATATATATATTTTTTTTTTTTTTTGCTTTCTTCTTTCCATCTTTTTCTCACCTCCTGCTCTTTTTTTAAACCTTGTCCCCTTCTAGAATTCCACTTCCTTGCCATTCTCTCTAGGTTAACTCTTATACTTCTGCCCCTCTTGAATTATATAAAGCTTGACTTCTACATTTTTACTTAAAAATAAAATGCTATAATTCTTAAATGCCTATTATTCATATTCTTGAATTTTATCTAGACACCTTCTGGTTTCTTCAAAAGTTGGTTTCTTTCTCTCTTTCTTTCTTTCCTTTCTTTTTTATTTTTTTATTTTTTATTTTTTTGAGGCAGGGTCTCACTCTATTGCCCAGGCTAGTGTGCAGTGGCATCATCATAGCTCACTATAACCTCTAACTCCTGGGTTTAAGCAATCCTCCTGGCTCAGTCTACCAAGTTGCTGGGATTATAGGTACATACCACCATGCCTGGCTAATTTTCTAAATTTTTGTAGAGACAGGGTTTCACTATGTTGCCCAGGCTTGTCTTGAACCCCTGGCATCAAGCAATCCTTTGCCTTGGTCTCCCAAAGTTCTGGGATTGCAGGCATGAGCTGCCACACCTAGCCTCTTGTAGAGTTTTTATAGAGCAACACTGGCATGTAACAGAAACTCCTTGTTCAAAAAGGTTCTTCCTTGAGGTATCACAAGATCGGAAGAATAGGCTCCACTTGTACTCGCCATCAAATTGGTACTGACTAACACTATGGCACTCACACGGTATTAATATTCTCCAGGGATTAGGAGGTTGCGGGGTAAACTCACAACTAAAGGACACAGTGAGCATTGTAAAGGGGAAGAGCATGCTTCCCACCATATACTGAGAGGCTGTGTGTGTGTGTTGGGGCAGACTTTCAACACTCTGGAAGCTTACAACTCTGGCTTAGCCATTTCTTCCTGTTTGTGAAGAGCTTCTAGTACAGCCACAATTGAGAGATTAGAACCTTTTTATATCTTTCTCAGGCATGCACAAAACCTCCAAAATAGACATCTTATTCTTCAGAAGTCTAAGGATTAAGAATCTGAAGAATATGAAGACCTATAGACATCTTACTCCTCAGAAGTACGTAGGGCACTTTTGAAAAACTCCAACATATTCATGGAGATCTAGAAGAAATTTTTTTCTTTATAAATTACCCAGCCTCACGTATTCCTTTATAGCGACACAAAGTGGATTAAGACAGTATGGTAATGATTTCCAAACAAACAGTAAATAACAATAAAGTTATAGAAATTATTGGGGGGTGGGAATGGGGAAGAGCTATATAGAAATTCAGGAGTTGAAAAGTACTTAATGACTAAAATAAAAAAATTCACTAGCAGGCTTCAACAACAGATTTGAACTGCAGAAGATAGAATCTAAAAACTTGAGATGGGTAAATTGAGATTGAGATTGTCCAGTCTGAGAAACAGAAAGAAAAAATCTTAAAGAAAAATGAACAAGTCTAAAAGTCCTCTGGGACACCATCAAGCATACCAATATACACATAATAAGAATCCCACAAGGAGAGGAGAGAGAGAAAAGAATATAAGAAATATTTAAAGAAATAAAGGTAGAAAAGGTCCCAAATTTTATGAACCCATTAATTTTCAAATCAAAAATCTCAATAAACTTTGACTAGAATAAACTCAAAGTGGTACACATCTATACACATTATAGTCAAACTGTTAAAAGAGAAAGAGAGAATCTCAAAAGCAGCCAGAAAAAAATGACTCATCACAAAGGATCTGCAATGAAATGAACAGCTGACTTAAAACCAGAAACTAAGGAGGCCAAAAAGTGGTTGGATGACATAGTCAAAGTGTGGAAAGGAAAAGAATCTCACACAAGAATTCTATATCTAGAAAAACTTTCTTTCAAAAATGAAGGAGAAATTTAGACCTTCTCAGATAAATAAAAATTGAGCAAAATAATTACTAGCCAATCAACCCTATAAGAAATAGTAAAGGGAATCCTTTATGCTGAATTAAAGGACACTAGACACTAGATGGTAACTTGAATCCACACAAAGAAATAAAGAGCATAAGTACATAGGTAAGTATAAAAAATAGTATATGATATGGTGATTTATGATAAAAATATATGATATATATTTGGTCTTTGAGCTCATTTCCAAGCCCTTTAAACCCTGGGAATCTCCAAAATGAGAAGTGTCTTTTTTGTTTGCTAATGAGATGACTAGTGACTGAGGGCTCCTGGGTAGCCTCAGGGTGGGGTCTGGTTACCAAAGGAACCAACCCTGTGATTAGAGGGCTGGAACTCTCAGCCCCACCCCAGAACTCCAGAGAGGAGGGAAGGTCTGGGATGAGAATTGAGATATTATCAATGATTTAATCAATTATGTGTGCATAATTAAGCCTCCATAAAAATTCAAAAGA